AATGAAAGCAGAAACATGGCAAGTCACATTCATTAAATACTGTTCATGTATGTATGTCTTTTCTTCAGAGAAATGTTGAGAAGTTAATCCACAGAATCCTTGTGTCCAGAGTGTGTTTTAACTGCAGGTTCACTGTGGTTATCATATATCACTGGCAGCCATGTGGGCTGACCTCATCCTGGTTTTAGGGAATAGACAATGGATCCCTTGGTTTGCACCTTCACTCTGTAATGTTCAGTGATTTACGCTTGTCTTGATGTCAGTAATCCCACATTCTATAGTCTGATTGTTCACCAATAATTCTTGACACAAAGCTGAGGTCAGTATAAAAGAATCCACAGGACACACACGCCTGGAGAAGTAGGTTTTCTTTTCCTTTTCCAGATTCCTGAAACCTGTGATCATTAACTCTGAACCAACACAAACCATCACTTCTCCCATTGATCTTCTCTAACTCAATTGTAAACACTCCAGCTCTCCTACCTTCAGCTGCATCACAGTCCACAGTGGTGAGCATGCAGGCAACATGAACAAGAAAACATCAGGAAAAAGCAGAAAACTGAGATAATGACTTTTTTTTCCAATGGAAGAGAGATAAAAGAGATACATTAGAGGACATCACTTGGCTTGTGCACAATGGTCACTCAGGCTTCTCCACAAGATGAAGTACAAACATCTTCAAAAGAATCATTACATGGGACATAGGGTTTAAATTATCTTGACATAGGTTTAAATTATATCTTGAAAAGGATGCAAATTTCCAAGTTGCATTGTGTGAAAATGTGAATTATCTGTGCCTTAGTAAAGCATTAACACATTGGTAGCTGGGGACTGTAGACATCTTGTTTCTCCATCTAGGTGAGCTAAAAACATTTATTCATGGAATATCTGGATTCTACTCCCCATGATGGGAAATAAATAGAAATGTTCAGATGATTTAAATTCCCTGTGATTTCCATCTAAACCTATCATCACCAAATCTGAAAATTGCAGACCATTGTGAGAAAACATGGAAAGTTTTATTTTCTGTTTATTCCATCTAATAGCAAGAAGCAAATGGATGCCATAGCTGCTCCATGGGCTCATAATGATAAACCCATTAGAAAATAAGCAAATACTAATTATCATAGAATAAGATGTACCAGAGATCCATAGGATATTTTTTGAGCAGAAAGGGAAAACCACATATTCTGAAATGTAGTTGACATATGCTTGTTTGTGGGGACAATCATATAACATGAGGGCATCCAGTTGTTCTGAGTAGCCTCAGCGCTTCTCAAGAGCTAGGCTTTCCTTGAACTCTTATGCAGGGAGGTTTGTGTCTGAGTTCACACTAACATTCCTCCCATGTCTCTGGCCCAGGAAGACACACCAGATGGTTCAGATGCAAGAAAACTTGGCTATCAGAAGCATTGTTTCTGATACTGATGCTGGGGTTGAAGTCCTAATTACAAACTCTGTCTCCAGTAGCCCATATATGGTCCCAGATTCTTCTATGACACATGTATAAAATGTTAAATATCAGTGTACACAATGGAAAATTTAGTACAATGTTTTAATCACAATGCAAATTTTGCATTTAGTATGAAAATCCAAAATTTGCTTGGGAGTAACAATCATGACACCAGTCTTTGTATCTCACCCATGAACACTTGACCGCAGGAAATCCCTGCCTCACCTTATATCCTGTATTAACAGCTGCAGTTATGTGTGGATTCCATACTGTCTGTGGCACATTCCTTAGGCAGAGAGCAACTACTTTCTGTCAAGGATCTAGGAAGTGCTACTGCATGAAGTTATATCTGAGGATGGAGGGAATCGGGAATCGAGAGAAGATTTAACTTTTTAACGGGTCAACTACTGCAATGCCAAGGTCAACTGACTTTCAAAAAGAGACGCATATTTTCAAAATATATTCCTAAGACCAGAGGAATGGCTCAGCTGCTAAATGCTAGAACAACAACAAAAATCACAACAAATATTGCTATGCTGTCTTGAGAGACACAGTTAGAGGCAAACAAATATGCCTTAACAAAAACACAGCATCTCAGAATCAGAGAGAGAAAGACCCCCTATCTTCTCTGTGTTTAGGAAGGTGAAAGCAAAGTCATAGGAAACCAGGTGTTTTTCTTTCCAGCTCTAAGGACTTGGAGTTCCTGGGCTTGGTTAGTGCTCAGTGACCCTGCTGGCCCAGAGCTCCTCTGCAGGGAGGTTTTTGTCTGGGCTCATGCTGAGGTCCCCTCACTGTGTCTCTTGCACAGTAATATGTGGCTGTGTCCTCAGTGGTCACAGAGTTCAGCTGCAGGAAGAACTGGTTCTTGGCTGTGTCTCTGGTGATGGAGATGCGGTTCTTGTGGGATGGGTTGTAGTCGGTGCCACCACTATAACCTATGTACCCCATCCACTCCAGCTTCTTCCCTGGGAACTGCCTGATCCAGCTCCAGTAGTAACCACTGGTCATGGAGTCACCAGTGACAGAACAAGTGAGGGACAGCGACTGTGAGGGCTTCACCAGGCCAGGTCCTGACTCCTGAAGCTGGATCTGGGACAGGACACCTGCAGACAGGAAGAGTCAATTCTGTCAATCACATGTTGTCACATCCCCTCATGGACACATGTATGAAATGGTCACACTCACCAAGAAGCGCTGTCACCAGGTACAGAAGACCCAACAGTCTCATCTTCTAGGCTACACCCCCTTTTGTCAGAGGTCAGCCTCCTGTGAGATTGATGTTAGCTTCACAGCCCAGGAGGGGATTTAACTTAGAGTTAGAAGATATATTTGCGTTTTGGGGGGTTTATCTTTTCCTTATAAAAGAGGAGGGTGGATACAACTCCATTTCCTTATTACAGCACAGCCAGCACTGTGTCTGACTTCCTACAGTGTGAGTCTGGAATAAGAGAGCATGGGGACTGCAGGGATCACAGGAAACACATATTGGCCTGACCCCACCTCCACTGCCTAGGCCAAGGCCCCAGCAAATTCTTCTGCTCCTGTATATTGCTTTGCTTTTTTCCACTCATTTATTTCTTAACATATTATAATTATTTTTCTTTAATTAATTAATTATGAATTATTTTTTGTATTCCAATCCCAGTTCCCCCTCCCTCCTCTCCTCTGGTTCCTCCCACTCCCCCACCTCCCATCTGCTCCTTGAGAGCATAAGGCCTCCCCTAGGAATCTACTAATTATTCAAAATTGTTAATTCATTTTTTCTTTTTATACATGAAATCTTTACAGATACATGCTTATCTTTACAGATATTATACCATAATTTCATCAAAATTTAAAAATTAAAATCACTGTTTGATAATTGAAGGGAAACTAATGTAAAGAACAATGAATAATGAAGTATACATTAAGTTATTGTAATGAAATAGGGGAAATTTTAACATGCATAAGGACTCGTTTCACCCTCATTATATAATACATATATATATATATATGTGCATATAATAAAATTAATATTACATAAACATAATAATAAAATTCTGTTCCTCGAGAAACACTAAACCCAACACAAACTGCTTTTACTTATATGGCACATGTGTGTGTTGGGGTGTGTTAGTTAAAATCTTTGGCATTTGTACCATTATTTTTCTTCAAAGGGAATATAGATAGGTTACTTGTCTGTGGTTGCCACAGGAAGGAGAGGAATCTGCAACCTGGTTTTTAGTGCCATGGTTTTAATGTATTCCCATCTCTCCAATTCGCCTGAGGATGCAGGAATTTCTTGGTGGTAATGGTATCAGTCTCGAGGAGGACCCTTGGAATAGTCCCCACTGTATTAGGAAGGGGCAATGGGAAGTAGTTGTTTAAGAGATTAATTAATTCAGCTATAGAGAAACAATGTTATGGCTAAGAGTTCTTATGGACTATGACATTTTTGGCTTTGGTTTTGTGACTAATATAACTGTGTAAGTTTGGTTTGCATGTCAGTATAAATGTCTGAATTATAACTACACATATTAAAACAAAACTGTATACTACAGAATCAACTGACTCCTGTTTTCTTTGCTCTAATTTCAATATCAAGAAACAGATGCACCCTCTGTTACAGGAAAGAAGCAGCAAGAACCAGTCCTTTGCATGACTTCTGTTCTACCTGCAACACAGACTCTGAATATAATGATATTGACAATGAAATCTGCACAGGCTGATGGAATTTCCTCAGTACACAACTTTCTTATCAGCTTCTGCTACCATTTACTTCTTAGGGACCGGTAGATCAACAATGCCGCCTGCTGGTTTGGAGAATCTACTTCTGTAAGTTTGTCTATGGACTCACACACAGTGCCCAAACTATGGCTGTCTCTCCTGTGTTTATTGACTTGGGTTATGTTGAGTAGATATGCAAAGGATGGATGGTAGCCATGAGGTTTGGCCTGAGCAGGGGAGCATGGACATGGAAACTCCTAGCAACCCAAAGGTGATAAAGAACAAACTCGGGCATTTTGTCATCTTTAGAGAGCTCTCAGTTCCATGCTGCAAGTGGACTCTGTTCTTTATTCAGCATCTTACTGGCTGTTTCTATCCATGCTTCCTTAGCCAGGAGGCCATTATTCTCTCCTGCCATGGACCCCTATGCTTGGTTGCTTCTAACTCTCTGTCCTCACTTGTTACTTCCACACCTAGCCCTCTGCCCAGGTGCAGGCCTATTCAAATGCTTAGTCCTGTAGAGATGCAAACCAGGGGACATTCTCCACTGAGGCCAGGTCATTCAATAGCAGATTAGCTCAAAACTGCAATACAAACTGTAGGGTAGAGCTGAACCTGAGGTTTGTACCTTGGGATATTTCTTAATAATATTTCCTGGCCCCCGACAGCACAGAACTAAATAGACAATTCTCAATAGAGGAATCTAAAAGGGCTGAAAGACACTTAAGAAAGTGTTCAACATCCTTAGCCATCAGGGAAATGAAAATCAAAACAACACTGAGATACCATCTTACTCCTGTCAGAATGGCTAAAAACAAAAACACCACTGAATGTTTATGCTAGAGAGGATGTGGAGAAAGAGGAACACTCCTCCACTGCTGGTGGGAGTGCCAACATGTACAGTCACTTTGGAAATCACTATGGTGTTTCCTCAGAAAAATGGGAATGAGTCTACCATGAGATCCAGCAATATGACTCTTAGATGTACACCCCAAAGAAGCACATTCCTACAACAAGGACATCTGTTCAACCATGTTCATCACAGCATTATTTGTAATAGCCAGAACATGAAAATATTTGTGTTTTCCCAGAATATTTATTTGGAATTTCTGAGCCAATTCACAATTTAGTTGTTTAAGAGCTATACCAACAAAGGTCCCAGTCCCATATAATCCAGAGATAGTTTTATTTCAATGCATAATCACAATTTTCACTTTTATTGTTTTATTAATAAAGAAGCATGTTAATAGAGGTGGTCACTGGAGAAGATTTTGTCAAGGTATGGTAAACAATCCGGCATCCTAAATCGGCATCACTTCATGCACAGTTGTGATTTTGAGAATTTGGTAAGACTGTGTCAACTGACAGACACTCAGATTGTTTGTTTCTGAGCTAGTCTCCAGGCTGGTCCTCTGTGTCATCTCAGCTTCCTGCTCCTCCAGGTTTTCTGACACACTCAGGATGTGGTTGCAACACTGTATATCTTGCACAGTAATAGACTGCAGAGTCCTCAGATGTCAGGCTGCTGAGCTCCATGTAGGCTGTGCTGGAGGATGTGTCTGCAGTCAGCGTGGCCTTGTCCTGGAACTTCTGATTATACTTTGTATCACCATCTCCAGGATAAATCCATCCAATCCACTCCAGACCCTGTCCAGGCTTCTGCTTCACCCAGTACATAAAACGATCAGTGAAGGTGTAGCCTGAAGCCTTGCAGGACATCTTCACTAAGGATCCAGTCTTCCTCAACTCAGCCCCAGACTGCTGCAGCTGGACCTGGGAGTGGACACCTGTGGAGAGAAAGGCAGAGTGGATGTCACTGTCACCTAAGTGCATGACCTCTCCTCAAGTCTGGAACTTGGAGCCCTTACCTGTAGATGCTGTCACCAGGAAGAGGATGATCCAGCTCCATCCCATGGTGAGGACCTGTGAGCTCAGTGACTCTGTAGAGGACACTGATCATATGCTGGTCATGGTATGGACTTCCCTTATTTACCACCATGGACTCACATCATTTGCATATTCATGAGGCATTTTTTTTTAAAGATAGGCAACTAGTTTAGTTGGAGAAGACAGGGTAGGGGACAACTAGCTCAAACAGCAGGATGCTGATTTCTACATCCTCAACATGTCTCAGGAAGTAGCCATTCCTGAGACCTGTGCAGACCCTGTGGAAACATCAAGGCCTAATCTCTCAATTTACAAATAGAATCCCAACCTGAGATACTTATCCTCTTGAAAAAAAATGTTTCTCAGGTGGGGGTAATAATTGTGTCTGGAAATTTCAAAAATTCTGAAATCAGGAGAACTTGCCATCTTCTTTCATATACAAAAAATTAATATTTGCTTTTCCAGGAGGTTGCAGCTGTGAATTTATTGTGTGTGTGTGTGTGTGTGTGTGTGTGTGTGTGTGTGTGTGTGTGTGTTTTCTTCTCTTTTTG